CACCTCGTGCCCACATTTCATATCTGTTGCGGCGTGCAACCCGATCCCATATAACATTAATCATAACTGTTGCGGCGTGCAACCCGATCCCATATAACATAATCTGCCTGGCGATAGCCACAAGCTCACAATTTCAACATAGATCAGACTATTATCAAGTTTACCAAAATAACAAGACAAGTTGCACAAAATATAAAAATAAACACAAGAAAAATTACAACATCAGATGAAAATTACCAACGCAATAACCCCACATCATCACATAAAAATTACCAACACAATAACCCCACATCATCACATATCATCCCTGACAATAGCTACTCTTATCTCTCCTATAATATCCTCCTTTATCCCTCCACCCTGACAATATCAATAGCCACCTTTATCGCTCCTATAGCCACCCTCATTGCTCCATTTAATAGCCTGCCTTATCACTCCGCCCAGACAATACCCCAACACACATAACAATAGTGAAATGCCACCCTTATGCCAGCATAATATCAGCAATGGAATGCCACCCTTATACGCCGCATAACAGTAACCCAAGTCACACAACAATTCATATTGAATATTATCACAACATCACAACATCATCAACTTGTATATACAAATTATCTGTAGGCCACAACCATTCCAAAGGTACAACAAAGTCAATTAATTTCACAACAGATAGTCCACGGCTTAACACAATGTATATAAAATCTCAAAAATAACCATAAGGATGGGAAAATAACTCATCATAGGACAACGCTTTCTTTAATCCAAATTTTAGATAAATATGTAAATGCCTCAATTTAAATCTATTTAATTAATTATTTGCAGATGAAAAATCCATAATGTGATTATTTCCAAGAAATATCAAATCAACAAACATACGGAATTTACATAAAAATCCAAGTGGCAATCACACCAAATTATCATATAAAATACAAACTCGACAAACAAGAAATGAGGCATGACAAATCAAGGATTTACTAAGTTCCAACAATTTTCCAATTTTAATACATAAGGGCGTCTACGAATTTCAACCGATATAATTTGCACATATAAGCCCGAGTACGTATTCGTCACCTCGTATACACGGCTTTCAATCACACAATTTTCATATAAGACTCAATGCCTAAGGGGTAATCCCCCACTCAAGGTTAGGCAAGATACTTACCTCGACAAAACTAAACCGATACTTTAAATGATCTTCGTAAGTGAAGCTACCTCCGGACGGCTCAAATCTGAAATTCGCCCCTTCATAATACTACGATGGTCCACCACACTAAACAAATTTCAATCTACAACAATGCAACACAATTGCGCCAATAAAAATAAGATTTCTGTACTTTAAGTCATTTAGACATTTTATCAAACATCTAATGTGCATATTTTTCTACAACCTCTTTCAATAGAATTTCTTCACCTAACAATCACCTTCCACACAAATGATTGATCTCACAATCGTCTCTAGGTCATCCACAACTTCCCTTAGCACATGCATGCCCAGCAATTCACTCCCAACCCACAAATCTTATCAATTAATTCATTTTACAATCTCTACAATACCAACACACCTAGGTTGGGCACTTATTGCTTCCAATCACCATCTCATAAGTCCTAACACATATTTCATACATAAATAATAATTAGTTAGAGGTAGTAGACATACCTATTATAGACCAAATCTTGAAAGACAACTTTTGGGATGTTCTTGAGATTTTGAAGAAATCCTATGGAATCCAATCAAAACTTTGTTGTAACTAGTGATTGAGAAGTGAAATCATCATAAAAACACACTTAAAAACTCACCTTAGGTGTGTATTAGAAGCCTTGGCAGAATGGGTGATGGAGAGAAAGCCATAGTCTTGAAGAAATGACTTAGCCACTCTCTCTCTCGGGCCTTGGGGGTATTTTTATGGCTCCTACGTGCGCGGTCGCACACCTGGGCAAGTGACCGCGCATCTGATCGCGCACATGAGGCAGAATACTCTCTAATATGCGCGGCCGCGCATTTGGGCATGCATATGGCATAGGTCCGGTAAAATGGCCATAACTTTCTGTAGAAATATCCAAATGACGAACGGTTTGATGCGTTGGAAACTAAACCCAAAGGCTTTAATTTGATAGGTAGATCACCACCTAAGTCTTTATAGTTGGTAGTTGCATGCGTTTGAAGTCGTACCTTGTGCGAATTTATTTGAAACTTTAGCCCATTGCATAGCTCTTAATTTGTCTTAGTTCTAGGGATCTCCTTAGACCCTAACAACATCCAATACACCTCCTACACTTTATATCATGATCATCTAAGTTGTTCCAGTCCTTAACCTCTCATGGAAAGGCAAAACGACACTTAAGCGACTTGTGAGCGTGCTTATGGCCTCGGACTAATAGGAAATTCGAGGGGCCTCACATCCTCCAACAATACTAGAATCATGAATCGTGCATCGATTCAAGCCTAAGAAACTTATGAACTTTCGAATTCCAAAACTAATGCCGATTCATACCAAACCAACTCCGATTGACTTTAAATTTTGCACACAAGTCATAAATGACACCACAGACCTATTCCAATTTTCGGAACAAAAATTTCGTCCCGAAGTCATTTGCTCAAAAGTCAAATTTCGGTAAACTCTTTTCATTTAAGCTTTAAAAATAAAAATTGTTCTTTCGATTTAATTCTGAACCTTCCGAAAACCAAACTCGACCTTGTACGCAAGTCATAGAACATATTACGAAGCTGCTCAAGACCTTAAGTAGTTGAACGGGACGTAAATTCTCAGAATGACAAGTCAGGTCGTTACATCTTGATAGTAATTATTGGTATCATTTTCTGTTGAGTCAAAAACTGAAAAATATTTTATTTTTACAATAAAATCTTGCAATCAACCTTTTATTTAGTTGATCAACATATTCATTTATGCTAGCTAAAATATCTTTTTAATTCTATCATGCGATTTGCACAAATTGCGTTTTAATCTAATGATAGAAATATTTCTCTTATTAAATGCACTACTATTACCATTGGGATTGATAACCAAGTGTTCAGGAAGAACCAAATCATCGTTTATTGGATACTCTTCTTCGTTTCGGACATGAAGCAAGAAGACACTAAATACTGGATCTGTTCTTACTTTATATTTCTTGTCAGTTGAATCTTTTTCGTTTGATGTCAGAAGTATAACTTTGGCAAGCTAGCTTTTACTGTCTCTGCTTTTGTCGATTTTGGAACTACTGGTAGTACTTGATAGAACCTCACCTTACAAATCATTAATTTTTCATCAAACGGTTCATTAATATCCATATCTCTAGAACTCCGGGCAATTATTTTGATCGTTTGACACTTAGCCATAAGTGTTTCATCCCATATTATTAATTTTGTTTTCCTTATAAATTTAGCACCATTACTCCGCTTTGATATATTTGTGATGGTTATTTAAGTTGTTTGAAGAGGTATATCAAATTTAAAGTGGGTGGCCTCACAATAAAATCGTTATTGGTACACCACTTGCTATTATTGCTAACAATGCCATACCTCTTGATATGATATTTGCAAGTAATGCATGACATAGAAATATTATTTCGATTCCGCCAGAGGCATCTACAAAGAATAATCATGTTATACCAGAGTCGATTCTTTATAATATAGTTTTGAAAGCTTATTCTTGTTTAGGATTTAGCTTTGATTGTGCTTCCTCAAACACTTGTGTAGTATTTTGATTCTTAATAATATACTAATATTTTTACTTTGTGTTCTAGCGCTCTTTTTATGGAATAAATTTATGTATCCTAAGATTTTTTTTTTAACTTGAATAAGAATTGTACTCATGTGATGAATTTAAAAAATAATTGAATTGCATTCTCTTGCTAAATAATTAATTAAAATATTTAATTATTTGATTTTAACATAAAAAATAATTTATTCTATGTTGATTCAGATCTTAATATTAGTTCATCTCTTATTTTGAATTTAATCTTAATTATAATTTTATCCACCATAAATTTTATTTTCAAAGAGTAAAAGATTGATATGATATTTCATTTTTAGATCTTTATGTTTGTAGAATCATTAGTGATATTGACTCTTATCAACCATTTTTTCTCTCTTTCTCACACATTTATATTCTTAAATATTTTCTTAGTTATTGTTAATAATTGGGTATTTTTTAAATATTACACGAAAGATTGATAAAAAAATATTATTTGAGTAGGAAAATAGTTCAAATATAATATAAAAATATATTATCGTTGGGGTATTTTTTTTTTTCCTCTCAATTTTAACTCTTTATGCATTCCATTTAATATTACTATTATTTTTTCTTTGTATTGGACATTATGGAGTGGTAATGTATTGCCAATACAGAGGATTCTTATGAAATTGATTTTATTAACCCTTCCTACATATTTTTAATAAGAATTTAATAGATAAAATTATATTAATTTTAAAATATTAAATATTAAAAATTAGCATAGAAGGTATTGTAGTCCAAAAAATAGGTTATTGCAGTTATGTCCTATGAGCTCTTCCGTTTAATACTTTAGGGCTATTTTGATATATTAATATTGTATTTATGCTAATATAAAAATATAGGCTCTCGTTTTTCTGAATGGGTTTCGACAATATAATATATTCTCAAATTAAATTAGTAATAGGACATTATAATACGTTTTCAAATTAAATTAGTAATAGAAATTTTTAAAAGTATATCATAAAAGTAATAAGATTATATGACTAAAGATATTTACTTGTTCAATTTTATATGAATTAGACAACTTGAAAGTAATTATACAAATAGGATTCCTAATATAATGATGTAGGATTCCTAACATGTAGTATTATGTCCTAAAACTGATAGGATTATAAGGCTAATATGTAGAATTTCGGTTCTATTATTTTATTATGAGTTATTATGTTTAATATTATAAAATTATTTTTATAAATCGATATTATATTTATATTTTTATAATAATATAAATAAATATAGATATAGGTAGATAACTTGCTAATTGTTGTAGAAAGGTACAACTTCCATACTTCTATGCCAAGTATTGACTTTAACACTGTTCAAACTTAAACGTGTCTCCACAGCACTATCTCTTTCTTGTTTGTCTCTTAAAAATCTTTACACAATCACAGAAATATCCAAATAATCTCCATAGCAATGGACCTTCAAGAATCGATCAGCAACCAAACAACCGTATCCTTAACGTTAGCGAAACATGTTTTTGCAACCGAGGTTAAAGGGGACAACAACATGGTATTTTCCCCTTTGTCGATCCACGTAGTGTTGGGTCTAATCGCAGCGGGTTCAAATGGTCCGACCCGTGACCAGTTACTCGCTTTCCTCAAATCCAAATCTACTGATGAACTCAACTCTCTTTCTTCTCAGCTTGTTGATGTTGTCTTTGCTGATGGCAGTCCCAGTGGTGGGCCTCGTCTTTCTGTTGCTAATAGCGTTTGGGTTGAGCAGACTTTGCCTTTTAAGCCTTCTTTCAAACAGATTGTGGACAATGTTTATAAGGCCACTTCTGTTTCTGTTGATTTTCAGAAAAAGGTTAGATTTGTAAACCCCGATTTTATCCATTGCTTAGTTACTTCAGTAGAGTAGGGTTATTTCAGTTTTCCCTGTTTTTTGGAGCTGAGATTATTAGGTGAAATGGCTCTATTAGGTACTTATTTTTATGTCTCGGTAGATTCACGGTTTAAACATTATGAGTTAGGCATGCCGCTGAACCGCTGACCATTTGAGTTTTCGAATTTATATTCGTACGTATTTAGAAGATATGTTAACACGTAAACCGGATCTGAGCCAGAGCTACTAGGCTCGACTGAACCCACAGCTTATACTAGCAT